CGGCCATCACTAGATGAATGTGAAACGTCATTTCAAATGAGATGACTATGTAGTGCGGTGAACACGGTTTTCCGGGTAACGCTTGTATCGGTCATGATTTCGTTGCATTATGAAATTATGAATTCCGATAACGAAATCATGAAACATTGTTATGATTTCATGGGATGACAATTTTTTTGATTTCATGATTTTTTATTCATGAAAATGGAATCGGATTTTTTCCCGTGTATTTAAATTTTGTTCAGTGACAACTTGACATCTCACCGTTCCACATACCACTTAACCGAGCACAGTTTTCTGCAAAATAGGGTAATTGTCAGCCAAAACCATTCAATAAGCGAGAAAAAGAGTTCGGCCCCCACAATCATATCGACTCCATGGCTAATATTATACTTTGGATCTGCTGATGGTAGATTACGTGGGATGCCGAGGGGCACGCAATACAAAGAACCGGTGCGTTGAAGTTAAAATTCAATCAAAAGTACTTAAAGTAATTAATGTGTTTTGAAGTAGTACTGATGCGCGTAATCTGCATTCAAAATGGAACCCAAACCCAAAATTTCATCAATTTTGGTACACTGGAACTATTTTAAATAAGTACGATTACATTTGTAAAAATCACCTTATTAGCGCCCCTCGGTGTCACTTTGTATGGGAGCGAGCTGTCAGTTTGTCAGTTTAGTGTCAAACAGTGAAGTTATAGAGATCTCCAAGCACAATCTCACGAACACTAAAATCCCACATCCATATATAAAAATTAAGAAGAAGAAGAACCAAAAAGGTATCGCGATATCACAATTACTTAAAAAGGTAGCGCGCGGTCTCACGCACACTTTTGTGTATTTGGAAAACTCTATTACTTTGCTTTAAATCTTGATTTGAAAATCGAGATGAAAGTGTGTGGGTTCGAAAAAAATATCGCTGTGCTCAGAAAACGAAGCTCTTTCAGATGATACATAAAAACCGATATATTTTTCAAAATTAAAGAACCCAATTAAAATTATCTATCCGTAATTAATGTAATTAAAAGTATTGAAAATGTAATTAATGTACTTTAATTACGAAATTTCAACTGTAATTAATGGAGTTAAAAAGTAGTTAATGTTCTACATTGTGTAATTAATGTAATTAAAGCAGTAGTTAATGGAATTAATTTAATTACAGCCGTTGCCTGCGTTGGAGTTAAAGGTTATTGCGTGCCCCTAGGAATAATGCAGAACAAGTTTAAAATGATTCTAGAGCCAAATTGGTTTTGAAAGGCAGGTCAAACTACAACCGAACAGCTCAGCCACTCTGAACTCGTCAAGCATGAACATTATGCTTTCCCAAGCGGTCCCTCCGCGCTCTGCCTCTGTTAACCCAAAACCCTAAAACTGATTCAAAGGTTCTAATATAGATAGTATAAAATAAAATATCCACCTGCGCTGTATTGTCCATTCAGAAATCATTAGACCCTAACCCACTTACTTGGCCAGACTTCAGCATCAACCGGTGGGCAGTGCACTCTACACTCCAAGTTCCCTTTGTTTCACATTCTTCTGAGACATAACATCACTGATAACGCCTTCCTTCGGAAGGGAAGTAAAGCCGTTGGTCCCCGGTTCATGATTTGATGAGTTGATAAGTAGGGTCCAGGTGTGGGAGCTGCCTTTCTGGCGTCGGTAGCATTGGTGCTCAGTACGGAAAACAAGATCGACGGAAAACAAATCAAGAAAAAAAAAATATTATATTTCTGATATAAATAACTTTGATGAAACAAAAGCAAACGCAAAAATAAAACTTGACAGATCATCGTCAATCCCCTCAAGCACAACATTTGGTCCTTCGAGCCAGATCATTGGACTCCGGCAGACGACATTGGAACGAGGCCATTGCGAAAGTGAGCCAAGCGCAGCTAGAAACCGCCACAGTATTGTGTACCATTGTCCGCGAACCACAATCAACACCTCAGCCTAAAGCTGGAACAGCAATCTTGTGCTGGACTACGCCATTGCTCACCAAGTCCCTCTGAGGATTGCTGCTAGGCTGCGCCATTGCCTTTGCGGATTGGATACACTACACACGATTTCGATTTGCATACGAGACTGGATCACCTTGGATACATCGGACTGACGGTTGATGCATGGTATACTGAACCAGCACGACTTCCTGGTTTCACAGGTAAGCACTTAAATGTTCAGTATATGTCACGGCCGAAGCCAAATCGAATCGATACTAATTCCACCCTTTCGACATTGATTGACGTGTTCTGGAAACTCAACCGAGTACAACGAGTGAAATTGAATCGACACCCACAACAACCAGGGTGCAACAACCAAGGTGCGTGAAGACATCCACGGTTCACGGATCGATCATTGCTTTTGGATTGCCAACTGGATTGACTTCATGCCACGATCGTTTGATGAGTCACGATTATCTAAGAGGCAGCGAAACTAATTTTCTGGCCAGGTAAACTATAAATTACAGTATATGTCACGAAGCTAGGCTCAGAAATACACGTGTTAAATTTATGTTATCCTCTTCAATTGATTGTGCCTGCATGCCTGATCCTGTTGAGCATTACGACGAATTCAAGTTGACTAGCTGATGAATTTATTGATCACGCTTTGGTCCATTTGCGTGAAAAACAAGATAGTTGGAATCGCCTCATTCAACGTAGTACTCTCATTCTCTATCTCCTCCCGGTGTTGGTCTACGCAGCTGTTTGTTTCTCCAGGTGAGATAAACAGTATATGGCCAGTCGTGGCAAGCCCTCTTTATGCTACATAATTTGTTCTCCTCTTCCTGACGCAACCTATTGATTTTCGGAAAGCTAAGCTAGCATTGATCCTCTGTTGACTTGGGCAACGTACTGCAATTGTGTCTGCCAGGTAAATAACACTGGACAGTATATGCCCTACCGAAGCTAGGATCAATTTCTGCATACTACATAGCGCTTTCCTTGTGTACCTCTGCACCATGCCTGCATCATCATCATCCAAGAGAAAGGCGATGTCTCTCAAGACGTTAGTTACGAAACTGAGGGAGTACCAAAGTTCCTTCAACGATATTTGGGAGTTCGTTGAAGACTTCCCGGCAGATGCTGTTGCATCGGTTATGTCTATACGTTTAGAGAGACTCGATGAATTGAGGGAGAAAATCGAGGAAACTGTTTTCGAGGTGAAATCAGATACCAGCTATAGTGAAGAGAAATACCCTCTCGACAAGGAGAGGAAGGATTTCAGTATGCGGTAGTACAAAATGAAATCCTTTCTCATGGACAGTCTTAAGGAGCTACAAGTCACTGAAGTTTCTGAGCAATCATTTCGAGCTACAAATTCGACGACTGCTAGCAATCTCGATCATGCTCGCTTACCACAGATAAGGTTGCAACCATTCAATGGGGACATAAATGAGTGGTTAAGTTTTCGCGATCTGTTCACTGCGTTAATCCATTTTCGAACAGATCTGCCGGAAGTTGAAAAATTTCATTATCTGAAGGGATGTCTCCTAGGTGAGCCAAAAAGCCTCATAGATCCAATACAAATCACCAAAACCAACTATCAAGTAGCTTGGAATATGCTCGTCACGCGATACAGCAACAGCAAGCAGCTAAAGAAGCGTCAGGTGCAAACACTTTTTGATCTACCTACTCTGACTAAAGAGTCAGTAGCTGATCTCCACAAACTTGTGGAAGGTTTTCAACGTGCTGTACAAACATTAGACCAGATCATTCAACCTGTGGATTACAAAGATCTCTTGTTGGTCTATCTTCTCATTTCGCGATTGGATCCTGTGACTTGACGAGGTTGGGAAGAAGTCTCGGCAAGCAAGGATCAGGAAAAGCTCAAGGATTTGACAGATTTTCTCCAGCGTCGTATTGGAGTTCTTGAGTCGTTGCCACCTCGGACTGCAGACTTCAAGGGATTGCACCGGCGTCATCATCATCTTCAGTGAAGCAACGATTGCCAATCATGAAGACAAGCTTCAACACAGTCCAGGAAACCCGGAAGGGCTGCGTTAGTTGTTCAGCAGATCACCTCCTGTTCCAATGCAAGGTTTTTTTTTCAGCGAATGACGTCATCCGATAAAGAAGCGCTGTTACGCGCTCATGGTCTGTGTCGGAATTGCCTCAAACAAGGTCACCAGGCAAAGGACTACCGATCGAAATTCTCGTGTCGGAAATGTAAGGGACGTCATCATACGCTAGTCTGCTTTAAGCCAGAGAAGGACGACGCTAAGGGTGTTGCCACTCCCAGAAGCACTAGGAATGAATCTTCCAATCATCCAGAAGGAGATGCTTCATCCACACTCTCCCAAGTGGTCAACATGGCAGCTACAAATGTCACAGCTTCTACGTCGTCAAATAGTTACTCGTCGCAAGCACTGTTGGCAACAGCAGTTCTTATCATCAAAGATGATCAAGGCCACAAATATCCAGCGCGAGCTCTCCTGGATTCTGGATCAGAGAGCAACTTTCTGACTGAGCGGTTGAGTCAACGATTGAAGGTACCGCGAGAAACGGTGTACATTTCTGTCGTTGGTATTGGAGAATCGGCAACCAAAGTAAAGCAGCGAATCCAAGCAGTGGTGCGATCGAGAGTTTCAGGCTTCTCTAGAGAACTCAATGTTCTGGTACTACGAAAAGTGACCGCTAAACTACCCACGATTTCCATCGATACTACGGGATGGAAAATTCCACAAGGCATCGAATTGGCAGATCCGACATTCTTTGTATCGAGGAATGTGGACTTAGTGCTTGGCATTGAGGCGTTCTTTGAATTTTTCGAAACGGGTCGTCAGTTATCACTGGGCAAACAGTTGCCAATGCTATTAGAATCGTTATTCGGCTGGGTAGTCTGCGGAGGGACTCCAAGGTCGACAGCCGATCACTTGTAAAGTGTCGGCTTCAAAGGATTTAGAAGAGATGGTGGCTCGGTTTTGGTCCTGTGAGGAGGTGGAGTCATCACGGGCCTATTCACCAGAACAAACTCGCTGAGAAACACTGTTCACCCGAACAGTACAACGTGACACAGAAGGACGATATACTGTTCCAATATTGAAGGATGGAGACGAATTTCAACGGCTGGGCGAGTCAAGGGACATCGCCTTTCGACGTCTTCAAGGCAAGGAACGAAGGCTAGCAAGGGATGCCAGTCTACGGCAACAGTATACAGCGTTCATGGATGAATACCTCACATTAGGTCATATGCGGAAAGTAGACGAATCTCAAGAGACGGTAAAACGTTGTTACTTACCGCATCATACTGTGGTAAAGGAGGCTAGCACCACCACCAAGGTTCGCGTTGTCTTCGACGCATCCTGTAAGACGTCTACAGGTATTTCACTAAACGATACGCTACATGTTGGACCTGTTATACAGGAGGATCTGCGATCCATTATATTGCCCTGTCGGATAAAACAAATCATGCTGGTGTCTAACATCGAAAAAATGTTCCGTCAAATAAACATTTTAGCAGAAGACAGACCACTGACATGTATTCTCTGGCGGCCTCGTCCTACCGAAGAGGTCACGACGTACGAGCTTGGCACAGTTACGTACGGAACCAAATCAGCACCGTTCCTGGCTACGAGGACGCTGCATCAGCTTGCGATGGAAGAAGAAGAGCGGTTCCCGGCAATCCAAGAAGACACGTATATGGATGACGTGATCACAGGTGTTGATACTATCGAGGAGGCAACTGATCTACGAAAACAGCATATGGCGGATGCATCTACTTGCGGAGTCAAGATGCGGAAGGAAGGGTCGTCTTTAATCTTTTAACCTCCAAGTCCAAGGTAGCGCCGTTAAAATGTCAGACGATTCCTCGATTTGAGCACTGCGGAGCATTGTTATCGGCGCAGCTATTCAAGATCGATGCTCCTGCCTATTTCTGGACGGATTCAACGTGCGTACTTCGGTGGTTGGCAGCGTCTCAATCCAACAGGAACACCTTCGTGGGAAATAGGGTAGCAAAAATACAAACCATTACAGAAGGATTTAACTGGCGACATGTTCCAGGTCTTGACAACCCTGTTGACATGATATCTAGGGGACTTTCACCGGAGGACCTAGCCCAGAATGATTCCTGGTGGCACGGTCCAATGTGGTTGGTACACTGATAAAACAGTAAAGATTTTATTTATGTGATTTCACACATAACTTTCATAAAAAACCCCACACGTTAATTTTATAAACATCATATACACGATATGTATTCTACATATACCAAGTATGTGTATCTCATATAAACGTCATATTTTGTGACACATGGCAAAAAATAGGTGTGGTACACATAAAAAATACATACACCCGACTACCTGACCGCGGAAGAGGTGAATTTCAAAATGGAGACTGGAAAATTTTACGAAGAACATTAACAAGTAGAGCGATGGGGCCAGGTGTAACGGGAAGCAAGTGGATTAATTTGCCAATGACGGCAGCTTGGACATCGAGGATCAAGTACAGCATCAATGAGAAAGAGTAAGTTTAGGGATGAATTTTGAGTTTAAAGTAGCTAATTTCAACACCTTTTTTAATTTCAGCTTCCGGAATCACCACTCACTATCGAACGCTGCTATAGCCATCATCCGAAGAGCGGAAAGACTACTGACTGCTCTGAACCTGATAGATGACGAGAGAGCGATGACGATGACAAAGGGAGCCCAAAAAAATCGTCAAATTTGTCGTCGTCCTCCTCCTGGTGCTGAAACTGTATATTTGTAAGAAGGTCGTGACATTTTTAATCAGTTTCCTGAAGGAGGACTACCAGAACGGAAAGTCATGAATAACTGTAGTGATGAGAGAAAATATATATTAAATAAAAATATAAATTGAATTTTTTCGCTTAGTAAATAATGTCCGAACATTAAACACAATATCAATAAACAAAAATACATATTTATCGACAAATGACGTTCATCTGCCACAAACTATCATGTCCATGTCTGACCACACATAAAATTTATTGGATCTCAATTGATGACAATTATATGTCTTACACATAAATTTCATTTCTGTAATCACATTACAAAAATTTATGTGTGTGACACATAAACGATATATGAACAATTCTCTCAGTGTAGGTGAGGAGAGTGGATGGCCCGTGGCTCCAGAAATTCCAACAGAAGATAATCATCCGATGGAGACATGACGAACTTTTGTAGCAGGGATGTCATCCGCATTAGCAGACTTCAATGATTGGTATATCAGCAAGTTCTCAAACTACACCAGCCTTATAAGATATACAGCGGTATGGCAACGGCTGATAAGACGCTTGCAAAATCGTTCGAAAGAGCATCCGATAGGTTTTCTCACCATTTCGGAATTAAGACAAGCGGAATTCACCATAGTTCGTGTAATTCAACGGGAAACCTTCGCCGACGAGCAAAATGCGTTATCTCAAGGAAGGATGGTCTCCAGAAAATCACCACTTAGGTGGTTTAACCCATACCTTCAAGAAGATCAACTTGTACGCGTAGGAGGAAGGCTACGTCATTCTACCGAATCTGAAAGCACCAAACACCCGTTAGTCTTACCGGCTTATCACCGGTTAACCAGGATGATTATGGAGCATTACCATCACATCCTGTTACATGCAGGACCGCAGCTTCTATAAAGCACCATCAGACTGAAGTTTTGGCCATTAGGAGGAAGGAATGTAGCTCGACATGTTGTCCATCGTTGTTTGAAATGCTTCAGAGCAAATCCGCCGCCAACACAGCAGTTCATGGGTGAGCTACCATCGTCACTGTGTCACTGTGTCTCGACCGTTCGCAAAAACTGGTGTGGACTACTTCGGACCTGTCTTTGTTCGTCCAGGTCCATGTCGTGTCGCCGTTAAGGCCTACGTTTCCGTATTCATCTGCATGGCATCGAAAGCAGTCCATCTGGAGCTCGTCTCTGATTTATCCACCGATCGATTCCTACAAGCACTTCGCCGTTTCGTGGGACGGAGTGGCAGATGTACCGATATGTACAGCGATAACGGGACAAACTTCGTCGGAGCACGAAATCGACTCCAGGAACTGTTCACGATGTTGCGAGACAGTAAGCACAAGGAAGCGGTGACCAAATATTGTCTGCTTAGAGTCGTTGGAGAACAACCGATTTCTCCAGAAGATTTGCAAACTCTGCTCGTGCAAGTCGAAGCGTGCCTTAATTCCCGACCGATTACGACCATCTCCGATGACCCGAACGATCTAGAGTCATTGACACCAGGTCATTTCTTGATAGGTTCATCACTCCACGATCTACCTGAACCTGATTGGTTGAATGTACCTACAAACCGGCTTAACCACTATCAACAACTGCAGCATAAGTTCCAAGGATTTTGGAACAGATGGCGCAAGGAGTATTTGTGCCAACCAGGGCGTCACAATATCAGCTTCAATCGACCAAATCGATGCGACGAAGAGGCTGCTGGCTTTCTTTTTCTGTTAAAGTCGAACAGCTTCGCTGCATTCTAGAACCTCAGTCGGCGTGCACAAACAAATGTCCAATCGCTTGCCTCTCTTTCTCCCGTCGCTCCATTGGTCTTCCTTTCAAGCTTCGGTGAAACGGATGAGCGAAAGAGCGCTCGACTTTGATAGTTTTCTCTTTCATGAAACACATCAACAGAGGTTTCATGACGTATATGACGGAAAATGAAATAACACATTTAAAGCATTTCTCACGTGAAAGAGATGAACTAGCCTCAGGCTAAAAATCTCTATAATAAAGAAAAAAAAAAAAAAAAAAAATTTCTCACGTGAAAACACGTGAAGATTACACGTAATATTTTTAATTTATCTTCCATGCATATATTTATCTAAAAAAAATGATCAAAAACGGGGCATAACGCATTTTAAACAAATTGAAAGATCGGTGATAGAGTGTTCGTGAAAGGGGATTGAAAGCCATAATGAGGTTCGTTTAACTAGAAAATCGACGTTAGTTACATTGAAAGCGATGAGCAAAGCAACGACGAGAAGTTCCACAGCCAGTGTTTCCTTCTAAGCGTGTTTCTTTTTCACTATCATTTCTTGCTGATAGTCTAGCTAGGCGTTATAGAAATGAAGCGTCGAACACGTATGTATGAGAGAAAAAAAACACGAGTTCATTTTAGAGCTTCGAAAATGTAGAGCCCTGGTGCCAACTTCAAGGACGCACTAAATACTTGGGTCCTGCGAAATCAATCGAGGTTGGCAGATTGGTGGTAGTTTGCGACAAGAACCTACCCTCAACACGGTGGAAAATGGGGCGAATCACGGAGACCCATCCGGGTGAAGACGGAGTCGTAAGGGTAGTAACGTTAAAAACGAAAGATGGGCTCCTCAAACGACCAGTAGAAAGGATCTGTCTGCTTCCTAGCCTGAACAACACAGAAGACACGCATCAACCTGATGCTCAACCGACGAACATTCCCTAATCCTAATCCCATCCTTTCCCTTCGAAGAGGAAAATTTTCTTTCTTTTCAGGAATTGCAGTGTTTGGAAGCGAGATTCCCGGTAAGCTACAACACTGCCATTGTTAACAGCTGACAAAATCAATAGTCTGCCAGCGCAACTACTAGACAGAGTTGTTTACGTCTGGGCTGTTGTTATATACCATCCACTGAATAGCATCCATCGAATAGAATAAGGGATATCGTTCGGAAGGCCAGTTTAGGTTTATTTGTTTCTCCTTGTTTTTGTATTGTACTGTAGTTATGTTTAGATAGCATTCAATATTACAGAGAATCAAAGAGATGACGTTGACGACCGATAAGAGTACCGACCTGGCTTGCTTGTGTAGTTTAATTTTATAAGTCGAATAAATGTAGTGATTGTGAGTATGTGTTTCAAAACAAGCGATGCCCTTTTTCAGTAATCTTTTTGAACCTATTGCACCAAAGTATACTTTAAATATCCCTCTTAACGAATGACGAATGAGAAAAATTTAGATTTATGATTATGTGAAATTATTGAAAGGAAAAAGTCTGAAGCGCGGAGGGACTGACAAAATCGGGTCATTACTGTATTTAAAATAAATAATTTCATTCTTACCTTTTTATGGTTGTTTGATTATTAATTGCTATTATTACCTGCTTAGAGTTCTACTGTGTAGAATTTACCTCATTATTCCTCAGCTCTATCGATATGCGTTCCTGCGTGGTTATTGTGATAGAATCACGCTCAGCATATTATCCTGTAGTACGACTTGGGCATGCATCATGCAAGTAACTCATCTCTCGTCAAAATGATGGGATATGGGGTGATGGTGAAGGGATATAGAAAACGAATAAAAGAACAGAGAGAAAGGTATTAGTATTGGTTACATTAACCCCCCCCCCCCCCCCACACACACACACACACACACATACACAACGAAAAAGAAACATAGATGCACAGACAAACAGAAATAACACATTTAATATTTCTCTCCACAAAACATAGTCACAAAAACACTACCGCCATCTGTCGAGTATCACGTGATGGATAGTACGCTTAACAAATGGCGCTAGTGTGCAGACGTCAAACGCAAGGGAACCGACCGCACGCGCCACAGGTGACATCACCGCCAACCAAAAACACTCAAATTGACCGTCAAATGCGTATTCGATGAACAACCTGCGAGTGTTATGTCTGTTTATCTGTGATAGATGGGTTATTAGTACAACTACATTATAACTATTAGTGCAATGGATGAACGTTAGTTTCGGGGTCATGTTAGTGTTATAGTTTTGTTAGTATTGACCCTTATTCTGCCCCTCGAACACTAGTCGCAGGCAGTTGTTGTTAGGACATGCGACACTGTCACTGCTACTATGTTAGAGGTATGACGTCAAGTTTCGAAGTGCAAAAAAAAGCTGTTAGAACTTTCTTATAAATTAACTTTACACTCAAAGCAAACTATTTACCTTAGCATTACAAAAGCGAATTTAAAATTACTATTTTATTTTATGCTAATATTAAAATTATTATATAACTACAACTTACGGCTCCGTGAAATTAACTCCCTTGAACCGTTCAAATCAATAAACTGAAGAAAAACTAGAATTTTAACAAATTAAAAAAAAAATCATAGCGGCACTTGACAAATCATCATCAAGCCCCTCATCCTTGGATATTATATAGATTATTATAAGTGTGAATACACTTCAGATACCTATTCATTTGATATGTGAATGTGTTCATGCGGGGCTTATTGTATATGAAGATGACTTCAGAATGTACGTGTAGGAGCAGGCATTCTTTAAATGGGTCATTGGATTTACAGTAGAGTTATCACCTTTCATCTAACGGCGCCGATGGTGTAGTGGTAAGCGTAATTACCTCTCACCCCAGCAGGCCTGGGTTCAATCCCAGTCGGCGCCGCCGGGATGTTCTGAGGCATAACATCTCTGATCACGCCTTCCTTCGGATGGGAAGTAAAGCCGTTGGTCCCCGGTTCATGAGTTGATGGGTCGATAGGTAGGGTTCAGGTGTGGGAGCTGCCTTCCTGGCACGTCTGTAGCATTGGTGCTCAGCACGGAAAACAAGATCGACGGAAAAAACAAACCAAGGAAAAAAAATCACCTTTCATCTCCCAGGGTTAAGCATGTGCACATCTATCGGTAAAAACAATTTTATCAACACATAGGTAGAGCGCTACTTCGTCGTAATCGTCCATTTCCGTTCTATCGAGCAGTAAACATCAGTAAAATCCATGATTTCACCGTGTACAAATCAGTAATACGCTACAACACAAAGCCTATTTGAGCGTATTGTGTGAATATTTACACTCATTGTTCTCAAAACAAAAGAAGCGCTCCTAGCAAACACGATTTTTCTACCTTCATCCGTAAGACGAAGAAAATCCAATGCGTTTGGACGGAATTGAAACTCGTAGGACGAATTTGGAATCAAGAAGCAGTGTTAGATTTTTAACAATTTCTCAACAATGTGTGTCTCTTTATCAAACTAGACGGTACATAATGAAAGGGGAATAAATTTAGAAGTCATCTTTGATAGAAACATTTCATTTATTGTTAAAACCCGTTCAAGGAAGAGGGGTGCAGCATGGGTTGTCCTTAGTAGGACGGAAATTAGATCAAAAACCCTAGGTGCGGACAGATTTACATATTTCATCATAGCATTGCCGGTCAGTGGGAGTTAGATTGTATCCACACACCACACACGTTTAAGACGAGTGAACCACGTAGCTCTTAGTAAGATGAACGAAATCAACTTAGGCAACTTGCATAAATAGCGGCGCCAGTGGTGTGGTGGTAAGCGTGATTACCTCTCACCCCAGCAGGCCTGGGTTCAATCCCAGTCGGCGCTGCCGGGATGTTCTGAGAGGCATAACATCTCTGATCACGTCTTCCCTTCGGATGGGAAGTAAACCCGTTGGTCCCCGGTTCAAGAGTTGATGAGTCGATAGGGTCCAGGAGTGGGAGCTGCTTACCAGGCGTCGGTAGCACTGGTGCTCAGCACGGAAAACAAATCAAGGGAAAAAAAAACCTGCATAAATGACGTAGTATTTGAAAGGGCAGGCGAAGGGGGAGGGGGTTCAGAAGTTGTGACCGGCCATGTATTAGGTATAGCATAATAAGCTACGAAGAGAGGGGGGTCTAAAATTGGCAAAAAAAAAACAAATATGCTACATGGTCATGGTCCCTTATAGGTATTTTCACGCATTTCTGATGTTTTTCTTTTTGGAATCCGTCGGTAAGAAAAAAATCCTAACAATGTTGATAGTTTTCTTTTTGAAAATTAAAGTGTATTACGTAGTTCAAATAAAAGTTACTCAAAAGTTCAAAATCCATGAAATTTGACAGTAGGTAGTAGGTATACTTGTTTTTTATTCAAATGTCAACATTTTCCATCATTGGAAAATAATACTGAAAAGTGTTCATCGTTCCTCCATGATCGTTGAACTAGAAAAAAAAATCCCGGTAACGAAAACCAATGTGTTAATTTGATATTCGAATTCAAATGGCTTACCTTCTACAGTTTACTGGATTCATCGTAGTCCCCTTTCGGGACTAACTATTCCCAACACACTACTTTTTTCCATATTTCTCAATAAAACGCTCGAAATCCTTTCGATAGACCAAATCCGGTTCCTTCGTCACCTCGACCATTTGCGCCGACGAGTAGATTTGGCTAGTCTTGGTCCAGACCCACAAGATCCGGCTGGTAAAGCTTTTCCCGAACTCCAGCTCTTTTTCGACTCCCTTCAAACCAATTTGTCCTTTTCGCACAAACAACAACCCGCGAGGAATGTAGAACTTCTTCGTTTCCTGCGAATCTAAAATCTCCAGATCGCTGCCCAGAACGTTAGTTCCAGTGGCTAGTTTGTGGACCGAAACATAGCTGAAGAATTTGTCCAACTCGGTCATCGGAATAAGCGTCTTACAGCGGATCGGAATCGGACGAATGGTGCAATTGTTCCGATAGACTAGAGGACGATTCAAAGCTTTGGCGAACTTAGTGCAAAGAGCATTTCGTTTGGTCTGCGGTAGGGACCGAACGTCTATGCCACCCAGCATGATCGCGTCGATAATGTGCAATGCGTGAACGATCCTTTGCTTGTCGCCCTGGAAAGAAAAGACAAATCAATTTAATATAAGATCAATTCGGATCGGAGTCGGAAGGAAGCTAACCATGATGGAAATTTCCTGGACAATTTCCCCATACAAAAGCGTCTTCGGTGACAGGATCAGCTGGAGCTCTTTCATCTTCCGCCAAGCTACTTCCGTTCGATCGTAATAGAACACACTGCCGTTGCCCTTGCTAAGAAACATAGTTCGAATGTTCTTATCCTGATCTGTAGTTACATCCACCGGCATAAAGCTCCAGTCGCGAGGGTTTCCAAACCTCTTTTTTATAGTCTCATTGCCGCACAGCAGCGTATCGGATTTTGTGAACATTTCGAGAGTATCCTTATCGATGTACTGAAGTGCGTACTCCGCTGCGCTTATTGCGAAGCCATCCGTCGGAGACACCCGAGATTTGTGATCCAACTTCCACATACGCCATAAGGTCTCCTGCACCAACTGCTTATCGACCTTCTCCTGTTGATTGGCACCGTGTAGAATGCCGATCAAAGATTTGAGACCTGCGATCTGACGTCGAGCCAGGTCGTTATTCGAATTGCGAATGAAGTTGTAAAAGTCTTTATCTTCTTGCATCGTCTGCGGCGAGATTATGTGGATAATATCGTGCTCCCCGTGTCTGTTTTCCCAGAGCACCTGACTGATTGAAAACAGGTAGTTCATGAATAGGTTGCTCTCATTTAAACGAGTCTGGCAAACCAGGTAGCGTTCAGAATTCGCTGATCGACTTGAAGCCGGTTTCACAATCGAAACCTTTTCGTAACATTTCGTCAGAACGTACACCAATCCAACGCTGAACGGTGTGTACAAATCAAACACTTTCAAAATAGCGTTTCCACCTGGACGAATGACACCGACTGCCAAAAGCACCAAGCACAAGTATAGCTGCTTTGAGATGGTTTCCTGGTTGTTATTCTTTACATAGAACCCTCCATCGCACATGATCAAATGTGCTCCCAACTTATCAGCAGTCTGCGCCTTGACGTACTCCATAAACGCACTAATATTATCCGGATCTAATATATTTCCATCATCGTTTGCCCCGTAGAATGGATCAAAACTTTCCGGCGCCCCCATCCGAAACATCTCAGCACGAAATTCGTAATCACCTTTTGTCGTATATCCAAAACCCTTTGCATTCCATCCATCATTCCGCCACAGCACATATTCACTGCATCCTCCTGGACCACCGAAAACGTCTACAAAGTACAGCAACTGACTATCATCAGCTGTATCGGGCAACTGGCACAGTTTCCACCCAAACAATGCATCCACGTTCGCAATCTTGATCGCAGCACGGGTCATGAACTGGCCAGCTCTAACCTCGAAAAAGTTTGCTTTGTTGTGTGCCCATCGCACCTTTTTTTCATCGCTATCGTCCAGTGAAGATCGCAGGCGGAATACTTCCTGCAACAAACTCCTTTCGCAGAAGGCAACTTCGTTTTCGATCGATCGAACCCGAGGGCCGATTTCGAGCCAAGTGTCTGGATCGATCGGTGGATTAGGTGTCGAGTCGTCATGGAATTCCAGCCACTTAAAATTCGATTCCAGTGTTTCGGCCCGCGATCGGATGTTTTCCGGTGTGAGGCCAACGCAAATTTTGTGTTTCTAGAAAAGGAATACTTTAATACCTACTAGCTATATATACAATGTAATCAAAACGCAAATAACCTTTTGCAACTGGGACATTTTTAAAAAAAATCACGAAGCGTTCTACAATCGTAATCGTACACAACTGACAACTGAACATAATAATCTAGTACTCCATTTGTATAGAGTTGCCAGCTCTATTGGCGTCTTGCAGTGAAACTTTTCCAAGCTTCCGCCTCCTACATTTCGAAGTGAGAACTACTAGAAGGAGGATAGTTTCCAAATTTTTAAAGTAAAACAGACGATTTTTGGGGCAAATCGGTACATAAAGAAAAACTAATAATTTCCCGTGGAAACTTTTGCTTGAATCGTGTAAGAAAACGTGTTTGAAAACTAATTGTTATTATTTCGGTATGGATCGGAGATGTTGTCATGGAAAATAATGCATAACAAGTTTGCACCCACATGGAGAGGTTGCCTCCTGCGCTCCTGCGCAGCTGCATTTTTCGGAAAATTATGAATATGTGCGATTTCCACTAAGATAAAAGTGGAAATTAAGTGAATTTACTTAGGAAAGGTTGTGGTTGTATCATGCTGGTGGTAATGGAGAATTGGTTGTATAGGATGCCAACATTCAATAAATGTTCATTTTGGCCTTTTCTAAGCAAACATACTGATACCACAAACGAAGTGACAGACGACTAACTGCACGGTAACCAGCGTAAACACATTAATGTGTAAAATTTCACACATTTCGTGAAAAAAGGGGCCTACTCATAAAATGTGTAAACTGCGTTTACACATTTATGTGTAAACTGCGTTTACACATTTATGTGTAAACCCAGCAAACGTCAAAAGAAGTGTATTTTTTACACATTTTTCAAGAACGGTTTTTACAGCAAAATGTGTAAAAAGTAATCATTTCTAGAACTTAAATATTATGGGTGCGCATGGTTTTTTTTATTAACTTTGGAATTTTCTTATTTGTGTCAGTGGTAAAATAAAGATTGCTTGATTATTGTATATATTTTATTAAAAAAAGAAATGCCATCAACAAAAATAAGTAGCGGCACCGGAGGTGTAGTGGTAAGCGTGATTTCCTCTCACCCTAGCAGGCCTGGGTTCAATCCCAGTCGACGCTGCCGGGATGTTCTGAGGCATAACATCTCTGATCGCGCCGAGGATCACGCCTTCCTTCGGAAGGGAAGTGAAGCCATTGATCCCCGGTTCATGAGTTGATGGGTCGATAGGTACACGCAGAAAAATTTATCGTTGAACCAAAAATATTTGAGGTAAATTTAAACGTAAACTCAGTTTCAAGAGCCACATGTGAAAAGGGCATACAAGCTTTTTGTAAACAAACCTTTGTAGGCCCTTTTCTCACCAACCGAGAGTTGCTCACGCAAACAAACAATATCATCGGGAAGGGTAAAGATTCCCCTACCCGATGATGATAATGGTTTGCGTTGGTGTCATATGGGTGGCGAGAAAAAGGCATAAGAAGGTTTGTTTACAAAAAGCTTGTATGCCCCTTTCACATGTTGTTCTTGGTTTGTTCTGGCCACAAAAATAAACAAGGTTTATTTCAAACGTATTCCATGTTTGAAGTCATGTGATATTAATGTTTAAAACAACAATAATGTTACGTTTATTTTAAAAATATTCGTGTTGAAAATAAACGTGAATATTTTTGTTTGGTTTGACAAGTATGTGAACAAAAATAAATATGTTTATTTTAAACATGCTTCTTATATGTTTGAAAGAAACATACTTAATTTTAAATTATATTAGCAGGATAAAGCAAAAAAATGCATTGCAAAGAGATGAAAAAACGATCTGCATCTAAGCTTCTGCTCTTTTTCGGGTGCGATTATGGGTAAGCTGTGGATGTTGGGTCCTGGTCCGAGATGCGGGGACCCGTCGGGGTGAGTGTCCGGAAGTTTCAGTTCAGTAAAACCAGTGAAACTTTGTGATATCAGCGTCGTTTTGTCGTTTCTAACGCTGGTCCTCATGCCGGCCTCTTTCTACGTTCGGTGTTCAAGGAGGGGGGACTGGAGGATCCGGAATAGATTCAAAATGTATTTAGGATTTTCGTTTTTCTTTCAACGTCAGTTGTGGAGGAGGATGATAAAGGATCGGCATCAGAAACGAGAGAGCGACGTCGATACCGCTGGGGTTCCTCCGGTTTTATCGAGCCGGAACTTTATTAAGACACTTACCTAGGTGGGTTTCCGAATCCATGATTTCGGTTTTGTTGCGGGCCGTTTTCAGTTGATTGGGGCATTTTTTTCCGAATGAAAACAAGAAGGAAAAAAAAGGCAGGGCACGCTAAAAATCGTTTACCCAAATTCTATATTGTTGAAATAAACATGCTTTTGACTTTAATTCAAACATATATATTTTTGTTGCAAACATGTTTTTAATTTATTTTGAATTAATCATATGTTTATAGAAATATAGTTTGTAAAAAGTATAAAGCACCTACCCGCTAGAAGTCCATCGTTGCGCACTGTCCAGTTTGGACCGTATTTCTTCCATTTACCTTCTGTTCTTCACTGAAAATTTAGCAAATGGCGTGCATCAACAAAGCAGGATGTAGCAAAGTTTGAAGTTTTTTTTTACCCATCAATGAGTATAAAAATACACATTTTTTGAAAGGTACTACATTCTTAAAATGTGTATTTTTTTACACATTTTAGGTTCTCCAAATTTACACATTTTTTGACAGCTGCATATAAATATTAAAAATGTGTATTTTTTTACTCATTTATGTGTTTACGCTGGTTACCATATATGGTATAACCATAGAGGTAACTCTAAGACCACTGGGTCCCGAAGAAAATCATTATTACTTTTGGCTCACTCAGTACCAGAACAACGGTCCCAAGCAGTCCCAAGCTATTTCACTCACCCCTGCATGTTCTGCATGAATCCACACACCCCTGATGTTATCTGTCAAACTTTCATAGCGAATCAAAACAAACATAGTGTAGTAATAGAATTTCAACTAGAATAGGGTACGTTAATCGTTTGCTTGGGACCAATAGGCTACTAAAGTGGTGAGCCAATTTAAAATCGTTAGTTTCGTATTGATTGTTGGTATAACCAACAATCAATACGAAACTAACGATTTTAAATTGGCTCACTACTTGACTAGCCTATTGGTCCCAAGCAAACGATTAACGTACTCCATTCTAGTCGTAATTCTAGTACTACGCACTGTTTGTCTTGATTCGCTATAGAGCTTTGTGACGTTTAATCGGCGCACACTACTGCACCATTTAAATCGTACGAGTGCGAGCAAGAGGGAAACAGATTAGTGGGAAAATAAACCATGTATTCATCCATGTGTGCTAGAAATAGAAAGACGATTAAACGCCAAAAAGATCTATGAAAGTTTGACAGATAAAATGAGGGGTTATTGGTTTTTCCTATGTTTCGAGGGGTGAATCGATTAGCTTGGGACCGAAGAGAGTACCAGAGCTGAGCCAAAAAGTTGAGCACGTTATTTCGGGACCTTCTAGTCTTAGAGTTACCTCTATGATTATATCTTATGGATTACTAGCAACAACCAATACGAAACTAACGATTTTAAATTGGCTAAATTGGCTTCCCGATAGTGCTCTTGGTTTGCGTGAGCGTACTTCGGTCATAGAGGTAACTCTAAGACCACTGGGTCCCGAAGAAAATCATTATTATTTTTGGCTCACTCAGTACCAGAACAACGGTCCCAAGCAGTCCCAAGCTATTTCACTCACCCCTGCATGTTCTGCATGAATCCACACACCCCTGATGTTATCTGTCAAACTTTCATAGCAAATCAAAACAAACATAGTGCAGTAATAGAATTTCAACTAGAATAGGGTACGTTAATCGTTTGCTTGGGACCAATAGGCTACTAAAGTGGTGAGCCAATTTAAAATCGTTAGTTTCGTATTGATTATTGGTTCAATCCCACCCGATGTCGGTGGGATTTTTCTGAGGCATAAAAATCTCTGGTCACGTCTTCCTTCGGAAGGGAAGTAAAGCCGTTGGTCCCGGCCCATGTGTGTTGAATGGGTGCGATATCCTACGCAGGTGTGGAAGCTGCCTTTCTGCATTCGATTGCCGTCAATGGATGGCAATCGATGTCCGTCGGTGATTGACACTAGATTACGGAACAGAGACCGACGTTTGTAAAGGAATGAAGAAGAATAACCAATTGCATAATTACAGATGCAATATTTCTTAGTCTCTTTGACCTGATTGAATTCCAATCGATTCATTGCGTAAATTGCGATAGTTGAATGTAATTGAATGCAAACCATTCGAAGATTTTATGTTTGCGTTGAATAGGTGTAATTAAACAATTTATATGAATAATATTGTTCACTGTGCATTAGTAAGTCAACTTATGAGTGTCATGAAATATTCTGTTGACATTTATAAAAAGTTGAATTTTTTCTAAGAAATCTAGTAACATAACTATGGTATGTGTACAAGTTTTAGGCCCTTGTGGTCGAATTAACCTTATCTTTAATTTCACGTTTTAACATTATTTCTAAATTTGTTTCGATACAAGGTAAGAACATATGTTTTGGCAGAAATCTACGCAAATAAAGCCATTACAATATATTTCAAATATGGCCTTAGGGCCAAAAACTGGACCACTAGTGCCAATACTGGTACACTTATCCTATGCAAAATAGATTCAAACGATTACTTTCATTTGTAAATAGTACTTTTTGTGGCAAATATAGCCGTTCCTTTTTTATATATTTATTTGAGAGATTTTTAGCTGATGGCTAGTTCATCTCCAATAGCCGTTCGTGTTAACTTTGAGATAGCTAGCTGGGAGCCCCAGATTGGGACCTTAGCCATAGTGATCGAAAAAAGTTTGCTAGGAACGCCCTTCATTTGGCTTTTCGATCAATCTTTACACTTTTTAGTGCAAAATAATCGGAGTAGATCTGTTGCTTAAAACATTTTCAATTGGCCGCAGCCTAGGCCGCCGCAGCTGAGAAGCATATGGAGGATTGAATCCTTCACAGCTTAAAAAGTAGTGTAAATTTCTGTTACTATCATGCACATAAATGGAACGTCATATATCATACAGATTAAAGATCGTGTAAATTTATGAGACATGTCATGCAACTGTCCACTTTTGCTTGCAACATTT